TTATGACTTTATGTCGAAAACTTACTAAATTTATGCTGAGCGAAGAAATATCTAATAAACCTCTAAGCTCACTATATTTCTAAGTTTGTCAGATTGGTAATAACTATTTAGTACTTGGGAAAGGTATTTAAAAAGGAAATAGAATTTTAAATGTAATTTAAAATGTTGTAATGTGTTTAAGTTTATAAATTGAATCAAAGTCCCTTTAAAAGTAAATGATAAAATTTGGTAGGCTTACAACTTTTAATGGAATAATAAGGTCTATAAGCTAAACTGAAAAGCTAGGAAAGTGCCCCCAGGCCTTTACCACTCTGCTGCATCCACAGCCACTGAGACCTCACGAGGCCGCCGAGGGCTGTGCGGAGATTCAGAGCTCGTCACCAGAAACTCCAGTCCTCACCTGTGAAAAAGGACCCCTTTTCCTCGCCTCTCACCATGCCCTGCCCTCCATCTTTCAGTGATGGAAAAACTTTTGACTCCTGACAAGCATATTAATAAACTCATGATCATATAGGCGTACCTATTTATTGTCCAAACCAAGACACATTTGAAAGTGAAGGGGGCGCTATTAATAATTATTCTGGAGGGCAATAGACTTAAACCAGGACTGTCTGGGCAAACCCGGACAAGATACCTCTAGGTGTACATGTGTGGTTTGTAAATATATGAAGGGAAGCAGGTGAAGAACTCAGCTGCCATCATTATAAGATGGTATCAAGTATCAACAAATGTTAGATCCTTGAATGTTTTGCTGGAAAAGTACTAAGAGCCCTTTCAAATGTGTTGTCAGCAACAAGGTCAAATAGCCGTTTATTAACTTAGGACTAGAAGGTCTACGCTGCCCGTGTATCGTGAGGTTTCTTCTTTATCACTTGGGTGTCATGAGGCCCATCCTCCTCCATTGCAACAACTGCAAGGCAGTTCTTAGTGTTAGGCTGTACCTGTACATAAGAGTCAGCCTGTAATTGGAGTGAAGAAATAGAGGGTGATGGATGGTTGCTTAGCTGCTGGCTGGTTCAGTTTCCACAAATGCAGGTTCTTACAAACGATCAAGTGTTACTTTTAAAGTCTGAGTCTGTGGTCTTTTGTTTTCCCACGACTACATACGTACAAAGGCAACCAGTGTCTTCCTGGGTATCTTATTTTTTTTTTCTATAAACCACCTGCTACCGTGCACATGACCTGCCAAGTGAGTTGCCATGCCATTTTTCATTCAAACACTTACAAAGGATTTTTGGCAGTTAATCAAATTCTGGTGTGCTCCCATGCATGCTATGGGGAAACAGGGTAACACAGGTGCTTTGGCCCAGTATCACCCCAGGGACTTGGCATCCTTCACAAGCCCAATAATGGTGTTTCCATCTGGCTCCGAAACCCCAGTAGAACTTATACACACAGCTCATTTCATTACAGTGAAGGGCTCTGTCCTAACTGCAGTGTTCTGGGTATTTCTTTTGGTCATGGGCTGCCTTATTTGCAGGAGGGTTGCTTATTTGGTGGGAACTGAGAAGGTTCTCCGGCTCCCAACTATTTCCCCATTCTACCTAAAATTCCCTCATTAAGGTTTTGTTTTTTGGGGCTAAGAAGTACAAGTGACCCCATAGTACTGGTAGCAACAATTTCACTCACTCTTTAGTGTGAAAGTGTTTGATCAGATAACCCCCCAACCTCTGGCTGAGATCTAAGAGAAGGTAGATCAGTCTTGATGCAGATGGAAGGGTTTGAAGGCACAGTGGGCCAATGCAAAATGTGGGGTTCCGGAGAGCCAGGGAGCAGCCTGCAGGTCCTTCAAAGACACGCTGGCCTTGTACAGTCCTTTGAAATGGGATTTTGTGAGACCATGGTTCCAACAGCCAAGGGTTCCAGTGTGAGGACAGGGCTATGGGTTTCCAAAATGGTAACCAAGAGAACAGGTGACAAAGGGTGGGTGGGGAAAGCCTAGTCCCATCCCCACTCCTGCCTGTCTTTTGTATCTGATGTTTTCCCCTAATTATTCCTGTTTCAGATAACTCAGCCCAAACTTGTCCTGGGATATTTGGCACCAAAAACCTTGGTTTTGTTCCCACCAGGAGAGAGGACTGACTACTAGCTGTCGGGCCACTGAGGCTCCCATCTCTTAACATTTTTAATCTTCAGTCTCTGCTCAGGCCTCCCAGTGAGCTGCCACCTGCCACCTAACACAAGTGAAGACCCAAAGCTGACTTTTTTAGCAACTGAAGCCTCATCCCAGCCACTGTGGAAGAAGAGGCCCCCTACCAAGCTCCGTCTTCTTTGAAGAAACACAACTGAGACCAAGTGAGAAGTAGCTACAGTTTAATACAAACCTGCACCAGAACACAACGAGTCGGGCTGTTTTGTTTTTGCCTCAGTCAGGTGGCCAAAGCACAGGACCATGTGTCATCATGGGGTTGACACAATCTTAGCACCATGACATTTACAGAGGAGTGAGGAAGTCACTTGGGTGCTGGAGGCTCCATCCCGACCCCAGGCTGTGCCTGCCACCTGGGCAGCTGGAGGGGGTTTGGGTTTCCGAGTGGTTCTGTGGTTTCTGGGTCAGTATCGGAAAAGCCCTCATCACGGCATTGGCTTGACCGAGACCTACTGTGGACTCCTAGCACTACACACACGCGCACACACACACACACATACAGTAGCACAATTTTCTGGTAACTTAACCCCACAAACCTAGAGAGCAGCTAAGGCAAGAACAACAGTATTTATTCAGCAAGTACAAGACCAGTTTGAGAGCTGCATTCAGTGCAACCAGAGACCCTTTTCATTCCAACCAAGAGCCAATGGGGCTGGTGATGGGGCTGGCTGGAGCTCGGCACAGGGGCAGGGAATGGGTGGCAGGGGGTGACCTTTCATTTGGTTCCTTGAACCTCCTTCTGATTTTCATCTAGAAGCTCCTGGGCAAGGGTGGGTCTATGTAAGGGTCGGGGGTGAATGAAGTGGAAGGCCTTCGATGGACCACACCAACATGTGGTCTCCCAGAGCCACGGACCACGCATCTCTCAGGCGGAGGCACTCAGAGAAGGTAAAGCTTTCCTAGCCCAAGCAGGGATGCTCTGCCCCCTGGCCACCACCACTGCTTGGCTCTTTGGCATCTGCCCAAGGCCCATGACCCAGCAAGGGCTGAAAGGAATAAAGATGATGCGCGCTGTACCACGGGGTCAGCGTCACACAATTTCCTAGGCTCAGATCCCCACCAACTGTCCCCATGGCCACCACCCTCCATGAGTGTCTTTGTTGCCTCTGCTTCCTGGGTTACTGTCTCAGTCCTCTCAGCTCCTAAGTGAGGATGTGGGGACAGCTCAAACCACAGGGCAGGCCTCCAACAAGTAACTGGCTCTGGCTCAAACAGTGATACGCGTCAGTTTGTTTACAAGAAAAATTTATCTACCTGTGCAAAACAAAGCAGAATGCCTACTGGGAGAGTAAGTCTTTTAGTTGGTTAAACTCTCAGGTGGGATCTGCAAGAGATGTCACTCCACTCCTCCTGTCCACAGCTAGGGTACACAGCCAAGCTCTTAAGGACAGTCCTGGACATTTCTGGAGTCAGAAGGCCTAAGCTTTCTGGGCCACAGCTGTGAAATGGGGGAATAATACACACTTAGCTGTCGTGAGGAGCAATTGAGAGCTCATACATGAAAGGGCTTTGACAACGTGAAAAGCACTACAGAAATGTGCCGGGTATGACCACCGGCCCAAGAGACCAGGAGCCGCGTGTCAGCCCGGGTGCTCAGACCAAACGTGCAACATGATGTCACTCCCGGAGGGGGAACAAGGCTTAGCAAGGGCAGCCTCTAGTGTTTCCATGGAAACCACCTGGAGCTTTGGAGGCAGGGAGGGCCCAACTGGGAGGAGATGGAGGCCACAGGCAGGTTAGGGTGAGGTGCTGACCACAGGAGACTGCAGCCCCGGAGCAGCGCTGTGGGCTACAACCAGGTCCTGCTGGCCTGGCCTCCCACCTGGATCTAGTCCCACCCCCATCTCTCTTAGCAGGCATGAGGCCTCTCGCCAATCACACGGATGAGCGGCGGGGCCTTGGTCCAGTAGGCGGAAGCGTACAGGCGGCTGGGTGTGTGTGTGTGTGGCGTTAGTGCTGGGAGTGACCAGGGCCAGAGATGGGAAAGGCCACCCTGCTCCCTGAAGGTCTGCGGGGCCAGCATCCCGGGCACCCTCTCAGGATGCAGGAAACTAGACCAGGAGGGGAGGGGAAGGACAGGAAGACTCCAGGAAGGGAGAAAAAGGGCCTGCGAGTCCAGTATCCCCCTCTCACCCCTGTCATCGGTGCCCTAGGCTGTCTGGTTGGTGTCGATGCAGCATCTCCTAAGGTCCACATCTATTCCTGTTTCTATGCTATGCTAGTGACACGAAGCACCGTCATTTTTCACAGGATGCACAAACAAGTCAAACCAAACCACTGCGCAAACCAAACGTGCAAAACAAAATCATATACACGCGCCTGGCACCAGCCTCATGCCCGCCCAGCCAGCCCTTCTGGGCCTGGGACTCCTGGGGGGTGGCGGAGAGGAAGCAGCTGGCAAAGGGCACAGAGTGTCCCAGCCACAACCAAACAGGGGCGGGAGATGAGTGGGGAAAAACCGGATGTCCTGGGCATGGCTGGGATGCTAACACCTGTCTGACTTGGGGAAAGTGACCACTGGGCCGAAGGGGATGGGGGAGGGAGTCCTTTTCTTTTAAAACACATCTGCTAAAGTGCTCTGGACAGCTGGCGGGTCAGCCAGGGGCAGGGCACTAAGGTCGGGCTTTCCCAAGGCCAGCCCAGAGACGGGTGTGAGAGGAGGGGCGGGGCCAGGCTCTATGCACTGGGCTCTGTGCATAGCATGGGCCCCCGGGAAGCCTGCCGAGGCCAAGGCAGGAAAGGACTGCAGCAGGAGGAACACATCTCAAAGTGCCTGTTAGGGTCGGCTCGAAGCACAGTGAATCACGTGTCAGACATGGGGAGGGCTCCCCGTGTCCCGGGGCCCCCTCAGGTGGTGCGCTGCCCAGCCCGGCCTCTCCCGCCCCCTGCAGCTGTGGCCGGAGGGCGTGTGGGCTGGTGGCAGCGGTGCATCTTCACTTGGGGGGCTGGTCAATGCCTTTACCAAATGCCACTTGACCTGCCTCCGGGGGGGAGCGAGGATCCGAGCTGAGGCTCTCTTTGGAACATGGTCATCGATCTGAGAACCTGCAAGGAAGGAAGCAGAGGGTGAGCTCCCCTGGGTAATAAAACCAGGTCCTCCGTGCTTAGGATCTAATTTAATCCTCAATCCAACTCCATCTCATTTTACAGGTGGGGAAACTGAGGCTCAGGGAAGTTAACTTGGCTAATGTCACACAGCGTATAAGTGGTAGAGCCTGGACTTGAACCCAGGTCTTCCTGGTTCAGAGCCTCCATGATTAACTGCCTTGCTACACTGCCTTCACTGCTGCCAGCCCTGGGGGTATGGTCTCTTGCCAAGCACACGGACCAGGGAGATGCCTGTTAGCAAGTGGACCTTTGCACATATGCCTCAGTGAGCAAGAGAGCGAGAAGGAAGGGTGTGCCACTGCTTTGGAAAATCAAAGAACAGCACCCCAAAGGCCCCCACGTCTCGAAGTCCCGAGACTTAGAAAAGAAGGCCTGGGAACTTCCCTGGCAGTGCAGTGGTTAAGACTCCGTGCTTCCACTGCAGGGGACATGGGTTCGATCCCTGGTCGGGGAAACAAGATTCCCGCATGCCCTGTGGTGCAGCAAAAAAAAAATAAATAAATAAATTGAAAAAAAGAAAAGAAGGTCTGTGCCCCAGGGTGTGTGATGGGACATTCTTCAGCCTGTCCCATTTAGAACAGACCAGGCTTGGGGCGGAGGGAAGGTGAGAGGCTGCCTGATGTCTGCTGAACCTGAGAGCGGTTCCGCCCAGTCTTGGCTCTGCCCGAGACTTGGGTGGGAGCAGAAGCCAGAGGCCAGAGGGGGCTCGCAGCTCTGGGGGGCCTTGCTGCTTCTCCCGAGGCTGGCGGCTGCAGGAAGCGGCAGACCCAGGCAGCCGTGGGGAGCTACACCTCGTGGACCGGCAAGGCCGGGGCTCCCGCTGACACTCCACCCCGCAGATCCCTTTCTGACTCCCTGCACTCAGTCCCATCACTGGTGGGAGTAGCAGTGGCCCTCAGGGTGGGGGAGAAGTTATCTCCGTAATGAGATTGGCTCTGAGACAATGGGGAGGGTGGTGGAGAGGACCCCTCTCCACAGGTGGTCAGCTCCTCAGTCAAGAACCACCTGAGCTGCGGCCAGCACACGGCTGGGCACAGAGGAAGCTCAGCGGGCAGCCGTGCCCCCCGGCTCCCCTCTGGTTTAGTTCTCGGCCTCTCATGTTAGGACAGTTTGTGGCTGCGTCTCACCTTCCCCAGGATCTTGCTCCTCTCACCTTCCGGCCCCAGCACGGCTCTTGCAGAGCGGAGGCTCGGTCTGCGCCAGGGCTAGTCGTGAAGGCCGTTCAGTGAGACCCGGCCTCTGCCCCTTTCAAGTAGGGATCATGGCTTCCAGCAAAGCTGCTTGCAGGACCAAGGCATCTTACCGTCTCTGCCTGCTCTCCAGTGAGGCTCGCCGTTTATGCCGCCATGACCCCCACCTTTAACTACGGCCGAGCACCTGGGACACACGCTGTCGACGATAAAGTCTCTAAGCATAGATACACCCCATATATTCTATATTGTATTACATACAGTACAATTCCGGGCAGAAAAGAAGGTGGCAAACCTGAGGTTAAGATGAGGGAGGAAAGGGTATAAGGGAAGTACCACGTCTTTCAGCGAGGCTGCTGAGGAGCGGGGTGGGGATGAGGGTGCAGACCCACGTAGCACAGAGTTAACGCTTCTGCGCTCAGATCGTCTCTGGGGCATCCCTATGTGCAGGGCCCTCAAGGTATCTCAAGGGATGAAACTATTTGAACTTAGAAACCACGGGGAAAGGCCCAAAAGGGCCATGGCCTGTTAAGAGTGGCTGGTGCCCAGGGACTGGGAGAGCCCTCCTTCCCCGCCCGCCAATATTTGTGTGTCTATAACATGGGGCCCAGCAGTCGTCAACGGGCAGGGGATTGGGGAGGGAGGGAGAAGATGAAGAGGAAAGCAGCATAAACCCCTCTGCCGGGGTGGGGTTCCTAGTCCCTCTGCCCTCCTCCTGTCCCCTCACTGTGGTGGAGATGCAGGTGCCAGGCCAAGTGGCCCTTGCTCTTACCAGAGAGGCTGAAGCTGGATTCATGAAGGTCCCTCATGCCTCCGTGTCGGGTAACAGGCCGGGTAGGAGTGTCTGCGAGTGGCGTTCCCATCTCTTTTTTCCCAGGATGCACAACGACAGCTACATCCCCCAGGTAGGGAGTGCGGTCCACTCCCCTCACCTTTAAGGTCTAGTGAAGGTGGAGAGCAGAAAAGGGGAAAAGATGATGCCATCAGAGCACAGACAGCATCAACCCTCAGGGCCAAGCCACCACCACCACCAGAGCCTCCTTGATGGCTGATAAGACTTTGGAAGCTGCCACTCTTCTTAGGACCCAAATTACTGCATGTGACAAAGCCTTCCTACACCTTGAACCCAGGGGTAGAGAATCCGCTTGTACCTCCTAAATAGTGCATATGTGTGTGAGTGTTTGCATGCATGTGCATAGAGATACCCACTGACTCCCCTTGACATTGGTGGAATGTTTTCCAAGGTAGCGGGGAGACTTCTGAGGTATTCAGCTTTAGAGAGCACCCCTCACACGGAGCAATGTCATCCCCTCACTTGCCAGGCTCTCAAGAGGCCAGGCCTTTTATTGTGATCTGACAACTTTGTGGGAATAGAGGCTAAATACAGCTGATTTGGAGATTAGAATCCCCCGGCAGCAATAGTAGTTAATTTTGTACTCACAAAGGCAATAGAGTTAAGAGCCTATATTCTACAACCAGACTGCCTGGGTTCCACTCCTAGCTCTGTTATGTGTAAGCTGTGTGACCTTGTGCAAGTTATGTTACCTCTCTGTGCGTGTTTTCTTATTTATAAGAATACAGAGTTGTTATGAGATCAAATGAAATAGAACGCGTAAAGCTCTGGCACACGGTGAGTGACATGTAAGTACCAGCAGCTGTTATTATTGCAGGGGTCAGTTCGGGGCTTAATCATATTACAAAGTTTTGCTGCAAGAGGAAGTGTGTTGGAGTGTGTGCATAAGGTCTGAAGCGGCAGCGTAAATAATTTACACCCCAGGCACTCTTCAGTGACATAACCTCAATCTCCTTGCTGCACAATGCTTGCTGAAAACCTTGTTGAGAGAAACAACAGATAAGGGTGATTTCTGGAAGGCTCTTCAGCTTACATATTCCTTTGTATTCTCCAGCAGATCTGTAGTTGAGCTCAGTCCTCAGAATGTCAAAACTGGTCTGAAGTGTTTTAGCCTTTACCAGGCTGCACTTTGGGGTTTCGGGGGTGAAGGGTGGGAGTACAGACCTGATGAATCCTGGGTGAGTGACCTTGGCAGGACCCGGCTCCCGGCAGCCCCTTGCTTTGGCTTTATACAACTGGTCCCAACCCCAGAGCTACTTTCTTTCCTGAGGACCCTGCTCTGTAGGGACTGCTTATTTATAATTTGGGGGAAATGAAGTTTTTTGCGTACCTGCATTCTGTTACATAAGGGTTATACCAGAGAATAGGGAATAGAATTGGCTTTTTCTTGAGGACCTTATGTTGTCATTATAAGTGCTTTGGATAAAGGGCCTCTGAGTTGAATTTATATCAGTCCTAGAAGCTGGGCTCTTCCACTATGTCTGGCCCTAAGAGCGGTCTGATGTGAATTGGTATCTGTCTGACATTCTTGTGAGGTTGGTTTTTATTTATTTATTTATTTTTATTAGTTTTGGCTGCGTTGGGTCTTCGTTGCTGCACGTGGGCTTTTCTAGTTGCCACGAGCGGGGGCTACTCTTCCCTGTGGCACGCGGGCTTCTCATTGCGGTGGCTTCTCTTGTTTCGGAGCACGGGCTCTAGGCGCGCGCAGGCTCAGTAGTTGTGGCTCGTGGGCTCTAGAGCACAGGCTCAGTAGTTGCGGCACACGGGCTTAGCTGCTCCGCAGCATGTGGGATCTTCCTGGACCAGGGATCGAACCCGTGTCCCCTGCATTGGCAGGTGGATTCCTAACCACTGCGCTACCAGGGAAGTCCCAGGTTGGTTTTTAGAAGGGCTTCAAACACTTTCTCTGCCCTCTTTTGATCCTATTTCCTGACTAAAACATCTTTTTTTGGGAAAGCCACAGAACTGTTTAAAGATTTTTTGTTTTTTCAAATTGAGATATAATTCACATACCATAAAATTCACCATTTAAAAGAATACATTTCAGGGGTGTTTAGTGTAATTCACAAGTTTGTGCCACCAACACTGTGTAATTCCAAAATATTTTCATCACCCCCAAAAGAATCTCCGTCCCCGTGAGCAGTCACTCCCATTCTCCCCTCTGGCCAGTCCTAAGCAACCACTAATCTATTTTCTGTCTATGGATTTGCTTCTTCTGAACATTTCATACGAATGGAATCACTTAATATGTGGTCTTTTGTGACTGGATTCTTTCACTTAGCATGATGCTTTTGAGGGTCATGTGTGTTGTATGTAGCATATATTAGCACTCCATTCCCTTTTATGGCTGAATAATATTCCACTGTATGGATATACCACATTTTGTTTATTCAGTAGTTGATGGACGTGTACACTGTTCCCACTTTTTGGCCTTTATGAATAATGCTGCTATGACATTCATGTACGAGGTTTTGTGAAGACATATATTTTCATTTTTCTTGACTCTGTATATACCCAAGAGTGGAACTGCTGAGTTATTTTGGTGACTCTATAGCTAACATTTTGGGAACTGCCAAACTGTTTTCCAAAGTGGCTGCACCTTTTACATTCATCTGACGATGAACGAGGGCTCCAATTTCTCCATAGCCTCACTGACACTTGTTATTTTCCGTTTTCTTATTTTAAATCATTGCCACCCTTGGTCAGGTAGTCTAGCGTGTGAATGTGTCGCTCTTACAGTTCTTTGTGGCACGTCCCCCAGAGGTGGGGCTGAGGTCTCCTGACATTGTCCACATCTGGGAAGCATACTGGAGATGGGACCATTCACCTACCCGAGAGATCCTGAGTTCGCTTTTGAATTGAATACTGGGATAACTAAAGTCATGCTTTTTTTTTAGGTAATCCAAGTCTGCTCCCTGATAGAAGACCTGCATTTGGGCTGGGGCTCCCAGGCCCTTGGTCATGATATTTCTAAGAACACCCACCCTTTCTAGACAGAATCTGGAAGTAGCTAGGCGGGAGCGTTTTAAACCATAATAATATTGCTTTATGCTGGAGGAAGGGAAGGGGAAACCTCATGATGCTTTCACCTGTCAGTTTTGTCAGATTTGTTCTTTTCTGATGATTTGGGTTCTCCACCCAGAGGCCAGGGCTGCAGTTGGTTCCCAGCACCTGGAGTTGTCAGGACAGCTCTCAAAGATAAGGCTGGACAATCAATCCCCAAGCAACGAGGGAACAGCCAGTCTTCTTTTGGATGAAACTCTACCCAGAGTTTGGTATCCCTGGGGATAAGGTGGAGCCCCAAGCTTCAGTGAACACCCAGGGTGTTTACGGAATCCGAGGACTGGATGAAACTCTCACGATAAGACCTCAGGCCACCCCCGCATGGCAGTGAGCTAGATCTGGCTTGACCACTTCATTGGGGGGCCCAGACTCAGCACAGCCCACCCAGCCTACTGCAGTTACAGGGCGGCCGTGGGGATTTTGGGGAAAGAGCATCTCCAGGGCAAATATGACAACCAGGCCAAGCCAGGAGTCCCCTGCCCCTGAGGGACGACAAGAAGCCTGGATGTCAGGGATAGCTATGAGCACCTCATAGTACCCCTGGGCTCCCAGGGAGTTGGGGACCCTTCCCAATAAATTTTACTTTGTTACAGGTGCTCCTTTTCTACTATTTTGATTGTTCCCAAAGTGACTATTCAGGCAATAAGATTTGGTGGAAAGACAGAGTGAGAACATCTTTGAGATTTAAAAGTCATAGAGGATGTCGCCGCCAGGGGCCTTCAACCTCTTCCCACATGTCTTCTTCGCCCCCCCCCCCCACCTTACCTTTTCTCTCTGGACCAGCTTCTTGTAGACAGTGTCTGGGAAGGACCTCAAGGGGCAGAACTTGCCGGTGCCCTCAGCGCACATGAAGACGCCATTCTCGTACACGACCCGCCCCCGGCTGATGGTGACCAGTGGAACACCGTGGCAACGCATGTTCTCGTACAGGTTGAAGTCTCCTCCCTGCACCTGGGTGCTGGCTGAGATGGTCCTGGTGGGAAGGCAGTGGCAGGAGAGAACGCTCTGAGAGGAGGTATAGATGTCACAGCTCAACAGAAGGGAAGGTACTTAGCAGGAAGGGAAGACGCTCAGTGGGAAGGGATAATGCTCAGTGGGAAGGGAAGATGCTCAGTGGGAAGGGAAGATGCTCAGTGGGAAGGGAAGATGCTCAGTGCGAAGCATGATGCTCAGTGGGAAGGGATAATGTTCAGTGGGAAGGGATGCTGCTCAGTGGGAAGGGATAATGCTCAGTAGGAAGGGATGACCCCCAAAGGCTAGGATGGACTGTGTGCCCCACAAATTTATATGTTGAAGTCCTAGCCCCCAGTACCTCAGAATGTGACTGTATTTGGAGATAGGGCCTTTAAAGAACCAATTAAAGTGAAATGAGGTCATATAGGTGGACCCTAATCCAATCAAATGGGTGTCCTGATAAGAAGAGGAAATTGAGACACCAGAAGCGCACGCACAGAGGAAGTGCCATGTGAAGACAGAGGGAGAAGATGGCCATCTACAAACCAAGGAGAGAGGCCTCAGAATGAAATCAACTCTGCTGACCCCTTGATCTTGGACTTCTAGTCTCCAGAACTGTGAGAAAATAAACTTCTACCGTTTAAGCCTCCCATCTGTGGTATTTTGTTATGGCAGCCCTAGCGGACTAATACACTGGGCTGTACTCTAGGGGTCTTTCTGCCAATAGCAATCCCTAACAGCCACACCTGCAGCAGCAGCAGGGACCAGCCCCAGGCTGGATGCAGAACCCGGCTTCTCAAGTGCCCTAATGGAGAAGCAGTGTGGGGATCCCAGCAGGGAGGTGCGTTTCTTTGCAATTCAACTTTTTATCTTCAAAATCCCTGCACATTTTTGTCTATCTTGTTCGCTGCTAGCTTGTGCACCTAGAAAAGTGCTCAGCAAATGGTGGCACTTTTCTATTTGTTGAGTGACTGAATGAAATTTAACATTAAAAAACAATTCCCATTACCCTGCTCAAATCTCTGAGTAAAGATGATGCCCTGGGGCTTCCCTGGTGGCGCAGTGGTTGGGAATCCGCCTGCCAGTGCAGGGGACAGGGGTTCGAACCCCGATCCGGGAAGATCCCACATGTCGCGGAGCAGCTAAGCCCGTGCACCACAACTACTGAGGCTGCTCTCTAGAGCCCGCGAGCCACAACAACTGAGCCAGCGTGCCACAACTACCGAAGCCTGTGCACCTAGAGCCCATGCTCTGCAACAAGATAAGCCACCGCAGTGAGAAGCCAGTGCACTGCAAGGAAGAGTAGCCCCTGCTCGCCAGAACTAGAGAAAGCCTCCGTGCAGCAATGAAGACTCAACGCAGCCAAAACAAAATAAATTAAATAAATTAACTAAAAAAAAAGATGATGCTCATAACAGGTGAGTTATCCTGTGGCTTGATAACTCCTGATTCACTTCATTTACCCACTCAACTTGTGTTCATTAACACCATGGGTGTCAAGCGCTGTGTGCTCAAGGGGACACACACCCTCAACGGGAGAAGCAGAGTGTTGGTGTAAGAGTCCGGAACTGAGTGTCAGGACATCTATCTGGTTCAGCCAATTATTAGCTATGTCATGTGGGGAGTCCCTCTACTCTCTGCTCTTAGTTTCTTCAACAGTAAAATGGAAATAAGAACTTTAGGCTTAAGTGCTTCTTGGGGCTATGTGAAAAGCAAACGAGATAGTTGATGTGACCTAGCTCTGAAAAACTGTAAAGTGCCGTGCACATGGAGCTGCACTATAGCAGATCTTCAGACCTTCTTGTTCACTGTTGCATTCCTAGTGCTTGGACCATGGCAAGCCCTCAAGTATTTGTTGAATTGAGCACACCTTAGGGTCATCTTGCTCTATGCTATAAGTAGTGCAAAGATGATATGCTTTTGGAGCTCTGTAATATAAGGCCCTTAAAATCCCAAGTCCCTCTAGCCCTGGAGACTAGCAGCAGGTTTTACTTTGTAGCTTCTGGGTCCCACACCACCACGTCGGCATCGGCTCCAGGGATGATGCGGCCCTTGCGGGGATACAGGTTGAGAATCTTCGCTGCATTGGAACTGGTAACAGCCACAAAACGGTTCTCATCCATTTTTCCTCCAACCTGAAACATTGCAAAAGTGTTAGGTCAACTGAGGCCCTGTGTGTGTGCCTCAAATCCTGGGTCACGCTTGACCCTGGCCTGAGGACTTTTAGTTGCTCAGAACAATGGTGCTGAGAAGGACAACGCCACGGGCATCATCTCAGATGAGCCAACTTGCTAGGCTTGGTTCCATGCTACTCCTCTCTCCTTCTTGCAGCAATGGGGGCGGGTGGGCCCTTGTTCCAAAAGGTTGCTTTCCTGGTGCAAATCTACCTCCTGTTTGTAAAACCAGGTCTACTCGGTACTCACTCTGGATAAATCAGGAGCTTCCCTGCATCCACGAAGGGACATATATTCTCTCCTGGAAAGGCATCTTATCGTCCCACCCATGAAGGCACCGTGGACTCTTTTCAAAGGGGATTCTGGAGCTGCCTTATGGGTCTTCCCCGAGCTGGTTGTTTAGGCTTGAGGATTTCAAATCTCTTTGGCCTCATACTCTATGCTGCATCTAATCTGTGATAGGTCAAGATCAAAACTACTTATTCTTCATGGGCAGAACAGGAGGTATTCAAATGAAGTCCCAGCCTCTATCTTTATTATTGGACAAAAGATATCAAGATCTTTAAAAAGGTTCATATCCCTTGGCCCAGAAATCCGCTTCTAGGAATCTGTCCTCAGGAAATAATTAGAAATGCTGATGTACGCTCATGAACAAAGAGATTCTCTGCAGCATTATTTCTAAGAGCAAAAATTTGAAACAGCTGAAAGTTCCAAACATCGTGGAAGGATTCATTGAAGTATGGCACTGCCGTTGGAGGGAATATTATTTAGCCATTAAAAATATGTTTTTAAAGAATTTTTACTGATACAGGAAGACACTCAAAATACACTGTTATATGAAAAGAAGATGAACCCAGTAATTAAAATAATGTATAGTACATGCATAGAGCTGGAAAGAAATATACCAAAATATTAATAATTTCCCAGTATGGAATTATGGGGTTTTTTCCTAATACTTTGCCGTATTTTCCAAATTTTTACGCTAGGCATTATTACCTTTCCGATCAGGAAAAAAAAATACCTTTTCTGTTTTCCTTTTGAGTGAAACAGGAGCTGTGGTTGACCCAGCCCTCCTAAGGGTGAAAATTCTTCTGAGGCCCAGAGTGGGGAGGGGTCGTGGGAACATACCACTCCTCTCTCCCAGATGACGCTCATGCGGTCCTGTACGCCGCTCACGCCGTGTGGGATCTTGGTGAAGTCCTCCTTGCCCATAGCTTTCTGCTTCGTGGTGAAAGGCCGGTGATCTGACGCCACAATGTTCAGAGTATCACTGGGTAGAGAGAAGGACATGACCAGTAAGGGGAGGGGAGGCCAGGGTCCCAGAGGGTGGGGACAGGGACAGAGAAAAAACCTTCACTTGGAAACCCGGCAAAGCTGGTTTCGATCTCAGCTCTGCCACTTCATAGCTGTATGGCCTCTAGCGAGTTATCTGTGAGAGCCTCAGTTTACACATCTGCAGAATGAGTGTATGTGCCAACTGTGGCACAGAATGCCAGCGTCACGGGAGACACTGAGAGTCTTTGGATGTTAAGAGAACTAACGGGTGGAGAAAAATTGAACTTAAGAGTTTAACTAAGGGCTTCCCTGGTGGCACAGTGGTTAAGAATCCACCTGCCAATGTAGGGGACATGGGTTCAAGCCCTGGTCTGGGAAGATCCCACATGCCGTGGGGCAACTAAGCCTGTGCACCACAACTACTGAGCCCGCGTGCCACAGCTACTGAGCCTGTGTGCCACAGTTACTGAAAACTGCGCGCCTAGAGCCCGTGCTCCACAAGAGTAGCCACCACAATGAAGCCCGCACACTGCAACGAAGAGTAGCTCCCGCTCGCTGCCAACTAGAGAAAGCCCGCGCACAGCAATGAAGACCCAACGCAGCCAAAAATAAATAAATAAATTTAAAAAAAAGAGTTTAACTAAAGTGAGAGGGTGGAGGTAGTTTTACTTCCATAGAACCATATGCCGACTCCCTCTCATCTCCCTCCTCAACCTGCACCAGGCCCTGCTGGCAATAAGCATGTGCTTGGTAAAACACTCGAGTTCCCTGTTAGGCTTTGCTTGGATGTGAGGGCTCTCCTGGCCCTGCAGGGAAGAGGAAGGACAAGACGGAAGAGAAGTCTGCCTTGATCAACCAGCAACGACGTGCCAGTGGTTCATCGCCGCTGCCATCTGTGAACATGGTCCTCAAATGGTTGCTGAGGCTACGGTGGGTAAGGCACGGCCAGGCTCTCGAGGGGTTCCGGGCCAGCTCAGAACTCGGGGCAGAGACTTACATCAGTGAGAGTGCACATAGCATGCCACTCTGTGGCATGGGCTGGTAGCTCCCTGCGCCAAAGGCGCTGTTCTGGGCCCTCTCAGAGACTGCGGGAGGGGCTCTTCCACAGAGCAGAGGGTTTATTCTAGGGTCTCCTGGGGATCCCCACATCCCCCAGACCTGCAGAACCCACCAGAGATAAACAGAATCTTTAGGTTTTCACTTGCTCCTCAGGGATCCTCCAGACACCCGGGTAGGGCTCAGATCAGAAGATGCCCATCAGAGTCCTGGGTTGAGGGTCTGGGACCCCAGGACCCCATGCTTTAACTGACAAGTCTTACTGAGCACCCACTTTTCTAAAAAGGCCCCTACACAAATAAGTGCTTACTAGGCAAGAGTGAATGGGGGGGCACATTACAGAAGGGCTTTTGGGGTCCCCTGATGCTGCCCTGAATCTGAGAGGTATGACAGACCCATCCTTACTCTTTAAAGTTTAAAACACCACTGCCTTTTGTTAAGTACTTTAAAAATATATATGTTCAAATGAAAAAATTTCTGATCCCTTTGAGAAGTCAGATTTTAAATAAAGGAC